CCTGGTGGTCAGTGCGCTCCCACAGCCAACCTCCTGTGGTCTCTACCCCTGGCCAGCAGGCCCTGATCGGCCCCAACTGGGGCCGGCCGGCCAACCTCCGGGCCCCAATCAGCCCAATCGGGACTGGGTGAGACAGGCCCTGATTGGCCCCAATCACCAGCCAGGCTGAGGGACCCCACCCGTGCACGAATTTGTGCACCAGGCCTCTAGTCCTGTCTAATAAAAGAGAAACATGGTAATTGGCGTACGACCGCTACCCTTCCCATTGGCTAATCAGAGAGATATGCAAATTACCTGCCAGCCAAGATGGCGGCCGGCAGCCAGGCAGCTTGAAACTAACATGAGGCTTGCTTGCTTCAGTGACGGAGGACTCCAACGTTCCCCACCTGCCTTGCCGGCCTCTGAGCCTGCAGTTTAAACATTGTAACAAATATAGAAGATAAACAAAACCCCAGAAACCAGCTTTCAGTGAGCCGGGATCTCAGAGCTGGAGTTGATACAGTGTCTCATTATAGAACCCATCAGAGGCCTCAGAGCTGGAGCCAGAGCTAAAGCTGGCCCAGAATAAAAAAAAAGAGAAAAAGGAGCAGTTGGGAGCTTCAGTCGGCCTGAAAACAGCCCTCAGCCCCTCACCCAGACTGGCCAGGCACCCCAGTGGGGACCCCCACCCTGATGCAGGACACCCTTCAGGGCAAACCAGCCGGCCCCCATCCGTGCACCAGGCCTCTATCCTATATAGTAAAAGGGTAATATGCCTCCCAGCACCAGGATCAGCGGAGCCGCGAGGCCTCCCAGCACCGGGATCAGCGTGACAGGGGGCAGCGCCCAAACCCCCTGATGGCTCTGCGGCTCTGTGTGTGACAGGGGGCGGGGCCACAACCTCCCTATCCGCCCTCCTCTGTTTGTGACAGGGGAAGGCGCCCCAACCTTCTGACCAGCCCTGCTCTGTGCGTGACAGGGGGGAGCTCCCGAACACCCTGATCGCCCTGCGGCTCTGTGTGACAGGGTGTGGCGCCCCAATCCCCCCCACACACACACACGGGCCCTGCTCTGTGTGTGACGGGGTAGAGCCATAACCTCCCCATCGGCCCTGCCCTGAGTGTGAGAGTGGCGGCGCCCCAACCCCCTGATCCGCCCTACTTTGTGTGTGACAGGGGGCGGTGCCCCAACTCCCTTATCGGCCCTACTCTGTGAGTGACAGGGAGAAGCTCCTCAACCCCCTGATGGGTCCTGCTCTGTGCGTGACAGGGGGGAGCTCCCCAACCCCCCGATGGGCCCTGCTCTGTGCATGACAGGGGGGGAGCTCCCCAACCCCCTGATCAACCCTGCTCTGTGCATGACAGGGTAAGGAGCCCCAACCCCCCTGATGGGCCCTGCTCTGTGCGTGACAGGGGACAGCGCCCCAACCCCCTGATGGGCCCTGCTCTGTGCGTGACAGGGGATGGCGTCGCAACCTCCCCATCAACCCTGCCTTGAGTGTGACAGGGGGCAGTGCCCCAACCCCCCAATCGGCCCTACCCTGAGCATGACTGAGGGTGGCATTGCAACCTCCCAATCCGCCCTGTTCTGTGCATGACAGGGGGCAGCGCCCCAACTCCCCAATCGGCCCTGCTCTGAGCCCGACCAGGGGCTGCACCTAGGGATTGGGCCTGCCCTCTGCCACCCGGGAGCAGGCCTAAGCCAGCAGGTCGTTATCTCCCGAGGGGTCCCAGACTGCGAGAGGGCACAGGCCAGGCTGAGGGACCCCCCCCTTCCCCCCCGAGTGCACAAATTTTTGTGCACCGGGCCTCTAGTACATATATAAAAGCCTACACAACTGTTCAACTGTTCAACCATTAGTTATGACGAGCACTGACCACCAGGGGGCAGATGCTCAACACACAGGCATGGAAACATAGAACAGACTAATGAATCTCAGAGGGAAGAGGGGAGGGGGGAAGGTGGGAAGAGATTAACCAAAGATTTTATATGCATACTAGAGGCCCGGTGAACGGATTCATTCACCAGTGGGGTCCCTCAGCCTGGCCTGCAGGGCTCAGGCTGAAACCAGCAGTCCAACATCCCCCGAGGGGTTCCGGATTTCAAGAGGGCACAGGCCAGGCTAAGGGACCCTACCAGTGCACGAATCCATGCATCGGGCCTCTAGTATGATACAAATATGACACAGACTGTCTATCAAGGATTATCAATCATAGGTGATCATGGAACACAGGAGTATAATTGATCTCTGGGAAGTTGGGCCAATAGAAAGCTGCATATCAACACTTGTTACTTAGTGAAGGGAGAGGAAATTTTAAAGAAACAGTGTCCAGGTTACTACTTACATCAAATGATACCCTGTAACAGAAAGGATCAGCAGGAAATACACTTAAAGGATAGCATCGGATCAAGGAAGTGTGAACTCTTGGCAACTGTCATTACAGCTGACCTGTGTCCTGCTCTGGTAATATGTACCCCCATTAGAGAACTATTGCATGGGGTTCCTCATTAGGCTCACCATGTTAAACAGTATTGAAGCACTGTGCCTGCAAGGCAGAGCCTAAGCATCACACTAACTAGATATCTCATTTTGATCAGAAACTGTAACTCTAACTAACCCACCATTAGGTACTTTTGGATTTCTCACTGACTCCTTGCTATAGGTCATAAAACTCATAAATATTTTATTATAAAATTGTCTGAAAGATATTATACACAGTGAGTAAAATCATTTAATACCAAGGGCTTTAAATGTCTCTGAAATATTAATTTTCAGACTTTTAAGAATATGAGCTCAATGATAAGTTATAAAGAGTTGAATTTTTATTACATATTTGAACATGAACAAAAACACATGAAAAGACTCACCCTCAAATGTAAACATTTTATGTACATTTAGCCCTAAGAAAAAACTGGTTAGACTAAAAATCAGAGACTTAGAGTTTGGAAAAATAAAGATTAAGACAACACTTTAAAAATACTAGATAGTACATACATTCTTGGAATTTATTAAATTAAGTATCAGAATTTCCACCTGGTTTTCCATATCCACCCTATTTTTGCCTGTACACACACATTCAAACTCTATCTCCACTCCACAGGCAGCAACTATAGTTCTAACCAGCGCTGAGTTCAGGCTGGATATTAACAATGCCTCCATCATTAGGTCCTCTGGACATTAACAATGCCTCCATCACTTGGCCTGCCTTCATTGCTGCTTTTATCAAACAGCAAAGGACCATCAGAGACAGACCCACTGATCCATTCCCATCTATTTTAAGCCACAGGATCCTAACAGGACACAGGTTTGACCTCCTTTGGATCCCATCTAGTTGTCTATCATGACAGTAATGCTTTCATAACCTTTCTCTCAAAGTTGGTCCCCAGAGTTTCTTATCATAGCTCACTTGATCCAGTATTCAGTCCTCTCTAACTCTAGATACAGACTGAGCAACTGTAAAATCAATGAGGCGGTGTCTCATTAACCTAGGACTCTGAGGTCCAAATTTCACGGACTATTTGACAACCGATGTAGATAATAAAAAAGAAAAGTACTATAATATTAATAGAATTGGCAATCATTGCTTCATAGGATCAAAGCTGCCCTCTTGATTTGGAGGCTGAGTGGAGCTTGAATGTTTGTATGTGATACGAAGTGACATAGCAATACATACCTTTCTGCCCTCCCAGTCTCCTGATTAGTATTTTAAGTGTGACAAAATGCCTATTTATCCCAATAACAACCTAATTTTTTTAACTGAGGTTAGGTCTGTTCTTGCCTTTGCAGAAAGAGAGTCTTTTTTAGGCAAAGAGACTATCAAGGAACTGAAAAAGAAAAGAAAAAAAAACAACAAGAGCAAAATGATTCATTTTCTACATTTTTTTTTCTTTCCTGAGTTTACCTGTGAGAAACCAATAACAATTCTTCACAAAAGTGACTGAAGAGATAAGAATGAAATATAAGATAATTCTTTTATAAATATGAGATGTTCAACCTCAAATAAAATAATAACAATAAATTCCACCACTGTGTGTACACTTCCAGTGAAGTTTTAATTCTTTCCATTCTAAGCTGATAGCCCTACATAAACACAGAATCATAGGTGGAAATATGCCATGTTTAGCACTAGAAGCACCATCTGGTTAGATAAATGAATATCACAAATTAAATTACTGGTGATGAAACTGTAATAAAGTACTGTAAGTCGGGTTTATAATATTTTTTACTAGGAAGGCCCTCGTTGCATTGAACTAATACCACCCACTCAACCAACCAACCACTCAAACAAAAATCATCTTTTGTGCCTCTAAAATCATGAAGACGTTGTACTCCATGCCTCTTAAGTCTTGGCGGTTTTCAGAGTAAGACAGATTAAGTGTTAAGTAGCTTCGCTGATTTCTCCATCTTGAATAACTGTCAGTTCGGGAACTTCGTTCATCCTCAGGACCTCTGCATAGAGCAGGTAATTATGTAGGCTTCTGGGAAGTGGCAACTGACAAATAAAATAATCAGATCGTAGGTGTTCTGGTTTTAGACTGGACCGAATTTCCAAACGACAAAGGTGGGTCAGGGATGGAACAGCACCTGGAGAAACAAACCAAACAAGGAAGATGAAAAAATTTTAAACATTAAGGTAAATGCCTTTTTTCTCTCATCTCTATGTAGTAAAAGAGAAGTGATATGTTACTCAGACTTACTTTTGAAAGACTGCTTGGGCCAGGATGACCACAATAAACTCTGTTTTACAGTCTTCACCTGGTTCCTCTCTCTCCAGTTGCTGGCCACACATGCAAAGCCAATACCCAGGGCCACATAAAATTAAATGTTCAAATTCTAAAGATCTGGCAATACAAGTTGGTGCTTAAAAAACAGATGAACTAACCTTAAAAATGTTAGCTCACAGCAACAAACGTTACATCCCTTTTTTACTCTGTTTCTTTGCAAATGGTCTCCATCCAGACTTAGCACATTAAGTGAATAAATGTGTAGCTTACAAAAGTTTTCCTCTTCTTGTCCGTGACATAGAATGAAATTTCAAAATTGACACAGAGAGAAAAGTGCCTACCATGCCATATGCCCATACACTTCACACACATTCTCTTTTAATCTTCATTACCCTATGCTACAGAAATAAGAAGACAGAGGTTTAAGTAATTTTCCAAAGGTCATACATCTAGCATGTGGTAGACCTAGGATTCAAATTCAAGTGCGTCTGACCCCAAAGCACGAGTGTGAATGCACACATACTAAAACCACTGCACAAAGGCTAATTACCAATTAAAGGATAGTCCACATGCACTTAATTAAGAATTATACAATAGTTTCATTTTCCATGATGAAAAGTGTTCACTACAGAAAATGTCCACAGACATGGAGAATACTAAAAATAGCTAGTGGTTTTATGTGAAAAAATATGTAGCGCCTTTTATTAATCCAAGAAATCTTGTATAAATCCCCATGAACTGTAGCAATGATTAGCAGACCAGGATCACAGCAACAAGGACAAATAGTATCAAGAGTCCAGCTGATACCAGACCAGCTGGTCTGACTCCAAGTCGAGGGTTCCTTAAACTGTAAATCCTCATAGGGCCTAGAACATACTAATTCTCTAACATCTTCAGTATCTTCTAAACCACTAAAGTTAATCCATCATCTTACAATTTACTTGAAGCTTATTGGTTTGAGTTTAGTTTAATTTACTAAAGTCTGGGAAACTCCTTGAACCACAGTGTTTCAAATCGCCAAATAAGAAATGTAAAACGATTATCTGATTTTGTACATAAACCTAAGCTAAAAAAAAGATGAGTATTTTCTTAAACCATGAGTCATAGACTCCCCATTATAAATCAGACTACATACTGGTAATCTATAATATATAACATATTTATTTCCAGTGTTTTCGTGTCTTTATCTCATTTAAACTTTACCCTGTTCTGTAAACTTAAAGGAAGAATCATCACTCTCACTCCTAAAATGGGAAAACACTGGTGAAGGGAGCACTGGAGGAATTAGCAAGAGTACATATGAGGAGCATACCCAAATTGCAACTACCACCCCCACCTAGTTTTCCAAAGGAGTAAGCAGGTTCAATTTCAAGTAGGTTAACTATGTTCAATTATTACCTATTACTAGGGTGGGGAACCTTTTCTCTGCCTAGGTCCTAGGGCCACTTGGATATTTATAACATCATTCAAGGGACATACAAAATTATCCACTTGAAAATTAGCCTGCTATATTTGGTCAAACATTCAATTAACTCACCCTAATGCTTTGGCAGGGCCAGACCAAATGATTTCACAGGCCTTATATGGCCCGCAGGCCGGACATTCCCCACCCCTGACAAAAAAGTAAGTCTCTTTACCCAATGAGATCAAGAACAATAATTGGTCCTAAATCACAAATGTCATAAATGTCCCTGGTGGGGAAAGAAGTATGTTGGCTGCAAACACTAAGCATGCCATGGGCACAGATTGATGAGACTGACAGAGGAACCGACAAGTGCATGGGTAAAAGTGAGGTTGGCTGTTAAATTGACATCCATCTCTTCATTCTGCATGTTCTTATTAATGTAGATCCCTTGTACACAGCCAGAATAAAGATAAAGGGTGGCTGTGTGGCCCAGAGAGCTGCTCACTCAGGGATAAGGGATCCTTAGTGCTTCTCCAGCTTCTCCATTTTGACAGACTATGCTCGCTTACAAACTCCGTGGGCTGACTGAGGGGAGCTCCTCTGCTGCCCCACAGCTTTCTGCAGTGCTGATAAGCCTTTCCAGGTCACCTGACTGCATCAAGGTAACCCTCCCTTTAAAGCTAAATAAACTATTTGTTTGTTTATGCTAATATATGTGTGGAAGCTTAATCATTTGCAATCAAGCCAAATTGGACCAGTACACATTTGTTATGGAAAGCTTAAGTGACCCGCCCATGTTGACACTGTCAATCAACATATCTGATACCAGAATCAAGTAATTTGACTTTAAGTCTAAGGTTCTTTAAACTGTGATCAAACCTAAAATAATTCTCTAACATCTTTTAAGCCACTGAAACTTTTAAGAGATCTTTCCACTTAATAATAATAATAATAATAATAATAATAATTTTTTTAAAAAGGAAATAGCATAGTTATTTCAGATTTTGGCCCTAACTTTAATTGCACCATTTTGATCTCCCCGCCCCTCCATGAGCACAATAGATCACTGGCCTGATGAACAATTGGAGGTCTAAACCATATTCATTTGAACTGAAGCAGCCTTTCATCTGTAGATTATTAACACAGATAATAATATGCCCATCACTGCCATCTTAGTTTATTATGCCAGTGAATAAGGGAATTTTATAATCATCTATGTGGTATTTCAAATCACACAAAATTCCTGTGAAAGTTTCAGTGATGCAGAGCATCCCCAGATGTGTTGCCACGAGGCTGAGACGATGGAGCCATGCCCTGCATTTAGAGTATGAAAAAGCCCAGACGCTGTAGGTAAAACACACTTTCGTGAAAACCTGTTAAAACCAGATTTCAATTTATTAAATAAATCTCTTTCTTCTTGGAGTGTGATACTAATCATAGTTAGAAAATTATGTCTGAAATCATGCTGTACTTTTAAGTTACTTTTCTGACCAAATCATTTTCAATTATGTTAAATCAAATTTATCTATAGATCTACTAGCAGACAGGCAACCTTTAACTTTTCATTCTTATATGGAATTCTCCAATTTTGTTCATTTGGTTGTATGTACTGACAGAAGAACAATCCCAAATAGGATACTTGTTATAGGAAGTTTTATTAAAATCAAAACAATGATCAAAATAAACCCAATTCTTAATGCATCATGCTTATTAATGCCAACTTTACAATAGCACAGAACTGCACACACATCACACATACCCACTATCTATACCTCCCACAACCATGCATCTCTGGCCTGCCCTCCTGCCAACATTCAAATGATCTAAGATGATGACTATTACCTTACACAAGCTCTACCTAGTGCCTAAATAAGAAGCCCTTGGTGGAGCCAGTCTATTGCAGGGTAATGTACCCATACACAATTTTTACCTTCATCTGGACAAACTTGCTGCATGTTAAAGTCTTCCGAGTAAACGCTCGCATATCTTTACTGATAAGCTGCAATCATTTTCCCATTTGGCATATGCTTCCTCTTTTGATTTTTTGTTCCCAAGTCCATTGCCCATAGTCTATCTGTTCTGGATGGATAACTGTTCTCTATTGCTGAAGATACATAATTAGTAAAAGCACATGCAATTCTCAACATTAAGAATTGCATGCCAGTGAGTTCTCCAACATTACCATTTTAAAAACTCTGTACTAGAAGGCTCAGAGAATCCAGATTACTTTTTTCTTCCACAGAAACCTCTCCAACAGTTTGAATATATCTCAGTTCAAGAGCATATTTTCCTGAATGTCTGTTTTTGATTGAGAAAATTTACTTAAATGTAATTATCTGAGAAATAAGACATTTCTACATATGCATAAGTTCACTTGTTAAAAACCTATTCAACATGTTTTATGTAGTTACATTTCATGTAAAAATAGCAGTGAAGAAATAATTTTCTTAACTTAAGATACATAATCTGGTTAACAAAATGAAGTTAAAGTAAAATAAATCTAAATACAAAATAGGAATATTTTGCATATATTATGTTTAAACTGGTTTCCTTGTATAAAATCTCCTACTACATGCTCTGTAATTGTTTTAATTAGCTTGTAAACTTTTTTTAAAAGAATATTATATTGATTTTTAGAGAGAGAGGAAAGGAGAAGAGAGAATCATCAATGTGAGTGTGTAACATGGATCAGCTGCCTTCTGCATGCCTCCTACTGGGGATCGAGCCCATAACCTGGGCATGTGGCCTCATCGGGAATCGAACCAGTAACCTCTCAGTGCACAGAATGGTGCCCAACTGAGCCACACTAGCCAGGACTTAAAAACTTTTTAATAAGCTAGAGTAAGTTGAGAAGTTATTTTAAAACAGTCATAAAATATCGATTTGAGAGTAAATTGAGAATTTGTTTTAAAACAGTCATATAAAATATCAATCAGCCCTAACCGGTTTGGCTCAGTGGATAGAGTGTCGGCCTGCGGACTCAAGGGTCCCGGGTTCGATTCCAGTCAAGGGCATGTACCTTGGTTGCGGGCACATCCCCAGTAGGGAGTGTGCAGGAGGCAGCTGATCGATGTTTCTCTCTCATCAATGTTTCTAACTCTCTATCCCTCTCCCTTCCTCTCTGTTAAAAAATCAATAAAATATTTTTAAAAATAAATAAATAAAATAAAATATCAATCAATTCACAGAATTTTCACCCAGCTCACCTCCATACTTATACCAACACATCAGCATGCATTCAGTAAGTACAGGTAGAAATAAAGGATGGTAATACTTCCGTTTAGAAATGATAAAATACTTAAGAGAGAACACAAATACAAACACATCCTGGAAAAGAAAATTAAGTTTAGCATTTTTCTAACAAACTAAACATTCACTAACAAGATTTTTAGGACTCATTTTGTTTACATAATCCTTACTAAAGTTAAAAGGATATCATTAAATAAAAATATCAGTAAATACCTCCTTTTCTTTATATGCCCCTTAGGCTAACCTTATAAAATCAGATATGATTTTTGTTGAAGGAAATTACTATCATCCCCCTCCCAGTCCCATCCTTTCTCCACATAAAGAAAATGCAAATGATGCCCTACTTAATATATTCTCCGACAACTCTCATTACTTAAAATTACAATATAACTAGAGAAGAGAAGAAAACATAGTCATGTGTCTCTAAAAATTGTACTTTCTTACCAATATGTTGCTGTAGAGCCCACGAGGAGTTTGAGACACGAGCAGAGAGCTTCTTTTCAACAGCTGGAGGAAGTCTCCTCCAATTAGTAAACTCCAAAGTAAAGATAAGGGTGTCATCGCTGACTGAGTCAGTCCTGTATTAGCAAGATGTTAATGCACCATTAGACACCAAATACAGCAAGGATTCATCCTGAAAATAAACACCACATACCTATTCTTACAACGCCTTACTAAGGAAGGCATAAAACTGCAGCATAGAAAATATTCACGTAACTGAAGGCAAGTTCAGTGGATATGAATAATCATCTACAGGTTCTTAAAGCAAACTGAATTGACTCTGTTTAACAGATGACAAGAGGAAACTACTCTCAGAGAGGGTAGCAACTTTCCTTCCAACTCCCCAGCAGCAGTGTCAAGAAAAGACAGAGACAGCAACCAGTGTCCTCAGCAGATTTGCCATTATCTCCTCCCAACTGGACCATCTTGCTTTAAAAGTCCTAAAAGGATAAAGCCCAAATACCCAAATTATCCCTAAACTAAGTATACGGGAGAGACAGCTTGCTTCTGCCCAACTCCCAGGGATGTGCAACTGTTCTCCTCTAGGAACCTTGTGCATTATAGATTCAGCTCTAACGAATGTAGCAGAATCAGTTTTGTCTCTAAGAACCAAAAGCAAGTCTTCAGAACAGTTCTCTCTATTTCTAAAAAATAATTTCAGATTTCCTACCAACCTACCCAAAAGAGACTTCCCCAAATTTTATAAGCATTTGAATCTAACGGAAAGGGCACTGGTCTAGGACAGTTTCTGAGTTCTAATATTACCTCCACTATTTACAACATGTTGCGAAAATTCTACAAGTCCTTGATCCCGGTCCTCTAAAATGAGAATAATACTCAACCTATTTCAGGGGACTAATTGTGAAAATAATATGAGAAAATATAATAAACATACTTTTAAAACTATAAAATGTTATATAAATGTTTGATATTACTAGAAACTGGTTTGAAATTTTCATTAGGCCTGATAACATGAAATATAGTCAAAGTGTAATGAGAACTATACATTCTAACAATTACTCAATTAGGTACTCAATTAGGTACTCCCCTACCATCACACTGTCTGAAGAAAAAGAAAATGATTAAGGCCTCTAGTAATTACTTTAAAAAGAGAAATTCTTTTCAAGGTCATTTTTTGGTTTGTTTATTTTTTGGACTCATTATTGAGCAAGGACTAAAGAAGGGGGGGAAATAAAAAGAAAAAAAAGAAACTAAATAAAATGCTCTAAACTTGTCATCTCAAAGACAATTTACTTTTTATAATTCAGGGCCAAAGTATCCTTGAAATGACTGATCAGAGTATGAAAATTATTTCCCAGATTCTTAATTCTCTAATATGCAAACTTCTATATAACAAAGAACTCAATGTTGCACAAATGCCTTGGGAAAACATTTTACTTCTAAAGAACCTTTCAATGAAATCACAACTTTGAGGAAATACTAGAACAAATAAAATGATAAAGTACATTCAAGGGCAAAAAAATCTCCTTGACTTTCTAGGAACTCCACACCAAGGTTACTTGGCTTTGGTTCCTTATTTCTTTTGTAATGGTTTCATTTTTCTGCATCAATGTGCTTTAAGTCACACTGGGACCAAATACTAAATCATTTTTATTCAGTTATCTAAACACACACAAGAAATAACACTGTTTACACAGCTTTAGATAAAATAACTAATTTTATCAATGCTGATAATGCCACTAAAAATGTATTGTTACTGTACTACTCTGACCATTATGTTGTACGAAGAAGTTGTACAATCATAAATGAATGACAGTTAATCAACTAAATGCACGGATGACATTTACTTTCTATTACTTATTACATTCAGTTGGAGGCACCTAGTGTTGCATTTAAAGTTGAAAAAAATATTTCAACTCTGTAGATTATATTGTGATAGGCAATTATTCAGCCAGATACATTTTTAAAGAACATTTAAGACAAAAAATACCTAGGAAAGACATTTATAATTTACATGACAAAGATTAAGCAACTGACTTTCATGTGATATAAATAAGATATAACCAAAATCCACTTTAACAGCACATTGGAATTTTATGGGAGAATTTTTCTTATAACAGCTCTATCTATGAATGTAAATTTCAAAGATCAGAGGAAGCAAAACATTTATCATATTCAGTGTAAACACTGGCTTTATCCATTCAATAGAAGATCAGAGAACAAAAATTTGACCATATTAAGCATTTTTTTTTGAAGTGAAATTTTCTAATGAATATAAAGTTACCCCTTCTGAGTAAACCATATGCAATTGGCATTCTCAGTTCAAATAGCTGCAAGTTTTACAATTTACTTCAAAGAAATTTGTAGTTTATGGGTTCTTAATTCCTTTATATCCTAACCCATCCAATAAATACAGCTTATACTATATTTAATGGCTTATTACCACAAAAATTATCAAATGGGCTATTCACATTGGGGAGAGGGAGGCCTCTCAGAACTGAATGGAAGAGTATATTTTACAAAACCTTCTAGGAGAATAAATCTAAATAATTCCCTCTCCTTCCAGTAGTCTATGTAATTGGCTGAGGAAGAAAGGAAAAAAGGCAATATTTAATTTTTCCCCCTGCATAGGTTCTTCCTAATTGAGGAGCAAACCAGAGCAAGGTAATATGGCATAGATCCCCCCAGGATAGGCAAACGATTAAAATACCTGAAATCACATGATATAATCAACATATCCCCATGGATACACAGGACTAAGGCAGCATAGCACAGTGGTTAGAAAGACAGACTTGAGCGACAAAAAGGACAACCTGGGTTCAAAACTAAGCTCTACTAACTAGCTGTGTGAGCTTGGCAAGTATGTTAATTACTGTACCTCAATTGTAAAATAAAAATAATAGTATCCAATGTATTTTATAGTAAACTAGAGGCCTGGGGCATGAATTCTTGCACCAGTGGGGTCCCTCAGCCTGGCCTGCGGGATTGGGCTGAAACCAGCTCTCCAACGTCCCCTGAGGGGTCATGGATTGCAAGAGGGCGCAGGCCAGGCCGAGGGACCCCACCAGTACACGATTGGGGCCAGGGAGGGATGCAGGAGGTTGGCCAGCCAGGGAGGGACCACGGGAGGGCTCCAGGGAGTGTCCAGCCCATCATACTCAGTCCTGATTGGTCAGACCCCCAGCAGCAAGCTAATCTACTGGTCGGAGTGTCTGCCCCCTGGTGGTCAGTGCATATCATAGCGACTGGTCAACCGGTGGACTGTTTGCCCCCTGGTGGTCAGTGCACGTCATAGCAAGTGGTTGAGCAGCCTTAGCATATCATTAGCATATTACGCTTTGATTGGTTGAACGGACAACCAAACACTTAGCATATTAGGCTTTTATTATGTAGGATAAGTTACTATAAAGAACTTAAAATAATGCCTACCATGTGTTAGGTAGTATTCTAAGTGTTGGTTAAAGAAATAAACTAGAAACTAGAAATACATATACTAGAAACCAGAGAACTGAAAGTAACAGGCAAGTAATATGGAGTTGAGTTAGTAGCTTCAGTAGGAGAACACAAAGAGTGTGGCTGAGAAGAAAGTGGTGCCTTGGGGACAAGCACCAAGTGAGGGAAGAGAGTAAAGGGGACTCACTGTCAAGGCTGTCTGTCCACAGCCACCCGCCTTTTGGGGCTGGATTTCCAGCTAGAGTCAGAGAGTAAATACTAGAATGGTGAGGGGCAACTGCAGCTAGCTGTCAGGCACCCAAACACAACAATAAAATTCACTAAGTAAAATGTTATGGGTACTTAAATAGCTTTGTTAACAGCTAGACACAGCATTCATTAGCAAATATTTATATCTCAGTTGCATGTGTGTGTGTGAGTGTGTATCTGTTAATAAGACAAGTACAGTATACATATACAAATAACTTTTTAAAATCAAAGATTTCTAAATAAACTGCCAATAATCTTTTTTTCATTCAATTTGTCTTAAAAATACAATGTTTCAGTGAAACTGTATTGAAAAGATATAGAGGGAAGTGCACAAATGAGCATTTGACAGATAACTATGTATTAATCAGCTGTTGGAGAAAGGAGTGAATACTATCAGGGACTCAACTTGCTGTAAAATAAACAAAAAGTAACGTGGAGATGAGAATGTGTATCTAAATTTTGCTTTTGCTTCTATATTCCTCAAACCACCTACAACAAAGCCCTAGGCAGAAAGTCTCTACTTAATGAAAATTCCTGAATTCTTTTTTTTTTTTTTAAATATATTTTATTGATTTTTTACAGAGAGGAAGGGAGAGAGATAGAGAGTTAGAAACATCGATGAGAGAGAAACATCGATCAGCTGCCTCCTGCACATCTCCCAGTGGGGATATGCCCGCAACCCAGGCACATGCCCCTGACCGGAATCGAACCCGGGACCCCTCGGTCCGCAGGCCAACGCTCTATCCACTGAGCCAAACCGGTTTCAGCTGAATTCTTTACAATGGCAGATATAATAAAAAAGTGAAATACTGGAATACTGCCAAATAAAGATCTATTCTTCGCATACAGATGGGGAAACTACCTAAATTTACAAGTAGGGACCATTTAGTTACCTGAATGAACCTCTTTTGAAAAGATAAACAACAAGATATCAAAATACTTTTCTGCTGACACAGAAAATCTCAAAATACGTCTAACCATTGTTTTAGTAAATGGTAGTTTCTGAAGTACAAAACTTAAGCCTTCTAGAATGTTTTATTGAAATTTTATAAAATTAAAATATCCCTATCCTCTATTTTCCTAGGGAGTTATGTTTTATCTTCCCACTTGAATTATCAGGTCAAAAGAGTTTTCTCACTGCTACAAGTTCCTTCACAGCCCTGGCTAGACACTGACAACTTTTGCAAAGGCTGGAGGCTGGGAATGGTTTTCCTCTTCTTGCCCAAGAAAAATCCTGACCCAACTTTCATATAATCACTCATAGAGGCTACCCTTCTGAGAAACTACCTGAAGTAAACAAGTTTCATCCTCAGCTACTTCAGAAACTAGTATTTATTAAGGGAGACAAAGTTCAAATCAACAAAATGCTGTACAACAGGAGTACTCAGTCTAGCTGACTAGGGGATACCAGAAATCTATAAAGCAGCTACAACCATGCTGTCAGAGGATTTTAACAGGGGCATGAGCAGTGGTCTAGGTAGAAGAAATATCCTCTCAGAAGAGTTTACTGGCATGAATACAATCAGGGACTCAACCTGCTGTAAACTAAACAAAAAGTTAAGTGGGATGAGAATGTGTATCTAAACTTTGCTTTGCTTCTATAGTCCATAGGCATAATCCCTTTCTACTCCCTTCCAGTCATGTCCAACCTTTTTCTAGGAATCTATCCCTACATTCAATCTCGCTATTAGCAGCCCCCCAATCCAGCCATCAGAGTCACATACATACACACTCTCACCCCAACACCAGATCTCAAGAAATGGAGGGAACTTAAATATAGTATATTCATTCAAAAAGGTAAGTTCCACTATTGTATGATTTCTTACCAAGAACTGCATAGAAGATTCAGTGGGTCAAATCCAGCAAGCAGGAGAGATGGCAACCATTCCTTATATTTCGTCTGTGCTTTAACTGCATGATTTATAAATTCAGACATATGGTTCCATGGTGCCAATGGGCAACCTTTCTTCAAAAAGTAACGAAATACTGAAAATTTCTCATACTTCAGGCAGTATGCCAAATGAAGTTCATTTAGCTGGACTCCATATTTCAAAAGAATATTCACAATTCCAAAAAATTCACAGCTCCACCACAAAAAAAAGAGAAAAAGAAGTTAGACTTTTACATAAAAAATAAAAGTTACAGATAATTACTAGTAGTTACAGCTGGAAAGTAAGAACAGCAGATGGGATAGTGGATGATTTTTACATATCTAGTACATTTGAGAGTAGGGGACTAGGGACAAGGGAGCGTTTTACTTTTTAATTTCCACCCCCTTGCATGGTTTTTAATTTTTAACTACAAGCAAATAGTGCCCTTAGAGTTCTAAATATTCATCTTAAATAATTTTAAAGATTATCATTGACAAATAGAAAACTTCTCAAAACTGTGGTATTTTTTTTAAATATATTTTTATTGGTTTCAGAGAGGGAGGGAGAGGGAGAGAGAAAGATAGAAACATGATGGAAGAGGGAATCATTGATTGGCTGCCCCCTGCACTCCCCCCACTGGGGATCAAGCCCGCAACCCAGGCATGTGCCCTTTGCAGGAATTGAACCCGGGACCCTTCAGTCTGCAGGCTAACGCTATATCCGCTAAGCCAAACTGGCAAGGGCAAAACTGTGATATTTTTATACAATTAAGTATCTCTACTACAAAATATTTGCCAAACCAAGTTATTAAACAATGTGATCTGTCTCTAAAGACTCATCCTAGGAATCACCAAAATACCATTTCCTTTAGCAATAACCTTAGTCAATGTCCCCTTCACTTTCAAATTTCTAATGATAAAAAATAATCATCTAGAAAAGCTGTTTTTAATTAGCAAACATTTAACTTATAGCTTTATTTCGAAATTAATCTACTTTATCATATACTTTTTACAGAATAAAAGTACATCATTTTGTATCTATTAAGCTGTTGCTGTTTTCTTAATATTTTATCATTCAATATCAGTAAGTTCTGGTTAAACTGATTAAAAATAAGTGCAATCCTTTTTTGAGAGAGCTAAGTGGCAAGATGTATCAAAAGAATTATCATAGCAAAGCTGTAAGAGCACAGACTGAAGCCAGCCTGCTCAGCTACCTACTAACCCTGGGACTCTGAATAAGTCACTTAACCTTCCTGGCACACAGAATTAGCATTGTATAAATATTTGTTGCATGAAACATTAGTCCCCAAAAATGATCCATATAAAAAAGGCTCCGAAATGAAAATATCTGAGAAATCCTATAATACAGAGTGAGTCCAGAAAAGAAATATAGGGTAAACATCTTTTTAAAGAATATGCTGGTTATATTTTCAAATTATATGCTAAAACCTCCAGATACCTGAGAAGAAGTGCCTTTAAAATTAAAGCAAAGAATTCAATTATTAACCTGAAATAAGCACAATAAAAAGTAAAAAATACCCCAAAATCTATAAATAAAGTAGTATAATATTGTAAACATAAGATCAAATTTTTGTAGATTCATTCCCCTCTCAGAAATTCACAAAGCATCATCATAAGAAAAAAATTTTAAAGCCCTTCAAGAAAGAAACCTATTTAACATTACTTAACCCTGTTTCCAAATTAACTATTTTATTCCATGTAATATTCATTAATGATCTATAGAATTAGTATTGTACAAAAACACACTTCGGAAAACCCAGCTCTAAACTTCTTCCAATTACCATATTGCCTTGTGTTAGAAGAGACAAACCACATTCTAAAAGGCTTATAAAACTGCCTAATGCTACATTTATTAACACATTTCCAACAAAACTACCTATAATATGGTGAATAATAAACATAAAATAAACTGGAAAATCATAAAATTTGTCAGCATGCCCTGAGCTTCTGAGAAGATTGAAGGTCTCAAATATATATACAAGCTCCAGAAACACAAGCAACTTCAGTGCTCTATATGACCTTCATTATTGCATGTTATTGAGCAACAGTAGCCCTAGAGCATAGATAACCTTTGGTTAAATAATAAATTGTATAAACAGATTAAAAAGAAAACAGTGCATCCTATTTAACCCTTGCAGAGCACTTGGTCCTGCCTAAAACATTCACAGAGATGTATGGTCCTTGATATTTGATCCTGTATCAAAATACCCAGAGACATTTGATCCACACCCACCTATTTAACTTATTCCACGTGTCATTACCAGCTAGGCTACCAAGGCAGGAAGCATTACTATTGACCAGAGGCCCGGGGCACAAAATTCATGGGGGGGGGTGGGTTGTCTCTCAGCCCGGCCTGCACTCTCTCCAATCGGGACCCCTTGGGGGATAACCGGCAGTCGGACATCCCTCTCCCAATCCGGGTCCACTGGCTCACTGGCTCCTAACGTCTCACCTGCTTGCCTGCCTGATTGCCCCTAACCCCTCTGCCTGCCTGCCTAATCGCCCCTAACCACTCTCCCCTGCCAGCCTGATCAGCCCTAACTGCCTCTGCCTCGCCCCCCGCCCGTGGCTTTGTCTGGAAGGACGTCCAGAATGATGTCTGGAAGACGTCCGGTCTATCTGGTCTAATTAGCATATTACCCTTTTATTGGTATAGATAATACAGTCAAAACCAATTACTAGATCAATAAAACATGGTAGTATTTTTATGTATGAACCCACAAGTATAAATAAATATCATGGGCTATCTGAAACCACAGATGTTTTTTAATCATGGACATTTTAGACAGGACCAAATTTGAAGGAACTTTTGCTCTGGCCGGGTAGTTCAGTTGGTTAGTTCATATCGTTCCGATATGCCAAAGTTACAGGTTCAATCCCTGGTCAGGGCACATACAAACCAATGAAAGCATAAATAAATGTAACAACAAATCAATGTTATGTTCTCTCTCTCTCTCTCTCTCTCCCTCTCTCAAAAAAAGTCAATAAACTTAAAAAAAAAAAGTCAAGGTCCTTTTGGCTTGTACCAAACGTCTCAGTGGACATTTTGGACAGGACCAAATATCTGCTAATATAAACATTACGAACTAAATGTGACACATTAAGAAACTGCACATTATATAAACAGTGAAAATCATCAAATACTGAAAAAAAGGAGAGGTTTAAAACCTAAAAAAGCAATGTCTGCACCTTATCTTGGTGCCTGCACATTTTCCATTATTTTGCTCTTTGAAGTTTAAAAATTTGCACAGAAACAGTGCCCAGAAAAGAAAGAAGCACAGTAAAATGAAATTCAACATATTAACAAAATTTATTTTAAACAGAAATGGGCAAACAGCTTGAGCATTTTATGTTCAATTAGCCAACAAAATGTCTAACCAACTTATTAACTGAATGATCAAAGACCATATAAGTTTTACTGAATGGTTTTCAGCCATTTGCTGAATACAAATACATTAGGTCCTATGTGTGATTATGATGAAGAAAAAGGACACACAATTTCTATAAAATTAATGTGCTAGCAAGGATCAGTATCAATTCAAAAGACAAAATCGGGTTTGTTAAGCCATGATCTCTTCCTACAGTCATATATAAAAGGCGTTAATATTTGTTCAAATTGTCCTGAACTTTCTCAACTTCTCTCTTCTTTCACACATTCTAGATAAAGGAATCTTTTTCTTATATTTTCTCATTTCAGTTGAATTACTCAACTGTGCCCTTGAAAGAATGGCTTTCATGTTACTGTAGCTGTTAACTTTTTAGCCCCAAGAGACAAAGACTGTTTTTGTGCAGTGATGGAGGAGACCTCTTTCCATGAGAAAAGCTAAAGGTCACTGCTTCAAATGGAAGTCATCCTCTCAAAGGGATGCCCAGGAAAAATGTTTCAGGATGCTAATTCTGAGCTAAAAAGTTAAATCAGGTGAATAAAACAATAAAGAAGAAAAATCGTAAAACCCAGAGCCATTATTTACATCTATTATTTTTATTACCATATGATATCAACTGTACTATTTGTAAAAGCATATAGAAGAGTTCACTAGAACACGACAGGCCAACAGTGAAAGAAAGGCCACAAATACTAAATATCTAGATCTCAGAGAAATACAAAAAATAAATAAATAAATAAACCACAAATAAGAAAATAAAAGTTTTAAACTCATCAACACTTAAAGTCAATAAATTTTTTAAAATGTTGCCAGGGTCCTAGCTGGTTTGGCTCAGTGGATAGAGCATCGACTTGCGGACTGGAGGGTCCCAGTTTCGATTCCAGTCAAGGGCACATGCCCGGGTTGCCTGCCCGGGTTGCCAGTGTGGGGGGCATGCAGGAAGCAGCCAATCAATGAGTCTCTCTCATGACTGATGTTTCTCTCTCTCTCTCTTTCTCCCCCTCTCTCTTCCTTTCTGAAATCAATAAACATATATATATATATATATATATATATATATATATGATGTTTTTTTGGTTTTTTGTTTTTTTTAAGAATCAAAAATGTTGCCCTGCCAGTGTGGCTCAGTTGGTTGGGCATAGTCTCGTGTACCAAAAGATTGACAGTTGGATTCCTGATCAGGGCACATGCCTAGGTTGCGGCTCAATCCCTGGGAAGGGGTTTGCAAGAGGCAGCCGATTGATGTTTAGCTCTCACATCGATATCTATCTATCTCTTTCTACCTATCTATCTCTCTCTCTCTCTCTTTAGAAGTCAATAAAAATATTTAGATAAATAACAATGTTGATTAAATAATTGCTAAATGGAATATAGGAAATTAATACATTATTTCATTAAGGAGCAAGAAAACATAATAGTTATTTCAAATGAAAATTATATTAAATTATCCTTGCTTTAAAAATGGGAATTCTAGTTAATTTAGTTAATTTAGGTATGTTACTGTAGAATAGCGATTTTCAACTGGTGTGCCACAGAATTTTTATAACATACAATACCTGACTATCTAGTCAGGGCACTGACCTCTCTTCCCTTAGACTGTCAAATAAAAAAATGACTCCAGCCAGCACAACAATAGCCATCTGGTGTGAATGAATCAAAATTATAATCATTTTTTTGTCAGAATAACAAAAATGTAACATATTTTTTGGTGTGCTGCAGAATTTTAGTAGTCTGTGTGTGCCATGAGATGAAAAAGGTAGAAAATTGCTGCTGTAGAGAATCCAAATTTTAAGATGCATACTTATTCAAAAAATTAACACACTTTTCAATTTTGATTTTTTTTCTACAAGCATCAAGCTATAATATTACACTCTTGATATACTAAAACAAAACCTACTAGGAGAATATCAGTTTTCTTCCTTGATCAGAAAAGTTTGTAAGAGTCCCAAAATAACCAAATGCTTTTCTCATTACATGTACAGTGACTGACATGCAAACTAAGAGCTAGACATTAGCTAATATAAACGTAGTCTAGAGACTAACATTTTAACTTATATTGCTTTCTAGATAAAGAAAGGATGGTAGGAAGAAGAAAATTAACCCTGATATTTTTCTACTGTGAAAAAATTGTGCTATGAATTATACTTGTCAATTCCTTTATATACACATGCAAGCATATATGATTATGATACTATCATCTTTTAAATTTAGCCCTTGGGAAAGGTTTCTCTTCAAGTAAATTCTCCACAAAGTAGGTAAAAATGGCAAAGATGTATTAAAATTAAGTCTATTGCCATGGATCCCAGGCAAATGAAAAGTCAATTAGAAAGACTAAGAAACAGATATTTTGATGTTTTAACTTTTTCCCTACAGGCTAACAAATAATATCTTCCAATGATTTTTCTTACTAAAAAACTACCTTACTAATTATAATTTGGTCCAATTATAAGTTCCCACACATAAGAAAATAGATGATAAGCTCTTTTAAAGTCATCAAACCAGATTTCAATTATGTTCTATAGGGCCACTTCACTTGAATTGTTTTTGAGACAAAGGATATTAGAGAATTCCTACATTTATATAATACAGTAAAAAGTATTCTCTAAAACTGCTACATTGAAAATATAATCCAGATCTAAAGAGGGAAGGAAAAAAAATCTGACATTATTACCTCATTTTTACTGTACTTTTAACAAGGTACACCATAGAGGGATTTTTCTGTTTGTTTTTAAGTTAACAATTTAGCACTAAGACATATTAAACTTCATCATAAAAGAAAATCAGTTGGAAATGCATCTCCATATTGAAAAAAATAATAAAAAATAGCAAATATACATACTCCTTTTGGAAAGCCATACAGAGTGGAGAACTAAATCCAAAGACGAGGCACATCTGGGCATCAGGGCTATAGCCATGCTGGAGTAGCATTTCTAGGCAGTCTTCATGCCCTCCAAACACTGCCGAGTAAACAGGGCTCACTTTGTCTGGACCAGTGTCACAGACCCGGTTAGTAAGTGGTATGAGCAAGTCCAAGATTCTGCAAATACATGAATATGGAAGCATTTAATATTTTTACATGCACATAAACATAGGTAACATTTCTACAGCACACGTAGACCGTCACGTGTTTCTCATGCCCTCGCACAAGATGGCTGCCCCCATGTGGTCACAAGACGATCACCACAAGATGGCCGGCTGGGGAGGGCAGTTGTGGGTGATCAGGCCAGCAGGGGAGGGCAGTTACAGGTGACCAGGCCAGCAGGGGAGGGCAGTTTGGGGGGACCAGGCCTGCAGGGGAGGGCAGTTGGGGATGACCAGGCCTGCAGGGGAGGACAGTTGGGGGTGACCAGACCTCCAGGGGAGGGCAGTTGGGGGTGACCAGGCCTCCAGGGGAGGGCAGTTGGGGGCAATCAGGCCAGCAGGAGAGCAGTTAGGCGTTGATCAGGCTGTCAGAGGAGTGGTTAGGGGGTGATAAGGCTGGCAGGCAGAAGTGGTTATGGGCAATCAGGCAGGCAGGCAGGTGAGCGGTTGGAGCCAGCAGTCCTGGATTGTGAGAGGGATGTTTGACTGCCAGTCGAACATCCCCCGAGGGGTCCCAGATTGGAGAGGGTGCAGACTGGGCTGAGGGACAGCCCCCACCTTAGTGCACGAATTTCATGCACCAGGCCTCTAGTTATTTAATAAAAGTCTGTCTTCAGTATAGCTTCCACCTATACTAAGTTATTACAGACTATATACTCCAGAATGTTATACTTATTATTGTTACTTAATACAAAGGTCTTTAAATAGATCTGAAAGAGAATTAAATAATCTATATGTATAAAGGGCTAATATGCAAAGTGTCCCAGGAGACCGGGAGTTCAATAGCTTGTTATGACGTGCCCTGACCACCAAGGGGTGGCACGGAACAAAGGAAGGCCCTGGCTGGCAGCCAACAGCCGGGGAAGGAAGGCCCTGGCTGGCAGCCAGAGGCCCCAGTCATCCCTGATCTCTAGCCAGGCCTAGGGACCCTACCCGTGCACAAATTTCATGCACCAGACCTCTAGTTTTCCTATAAGTAAGTAGGTAACAGGTTGTCCTTTCTTACTTTCCATGAATTTCTTACCTTACTACCATGGCCCTACTTGCTAAAATTCAAATTTTATGTTAGACTAGAGGCCTGGTGCACAAATTAGTGAACGGGTGGGGTCGCTCGGTGTGGCGTGTGGGGATTGGGCCAAAACCGGCAGTCAAATGCCACCTGCCGCTCCTGCCTGCTGCTCCCGCTCATCCCGGCCCCACTGCACGTGCCACAGCCTCGTGCCCAATCAGTCCCGATCAAGAGAGGCTCATGCCCCCAAAGTGGCACTAGCCACCCGTGAGCCAGCCGTGAGCCGTGAGGGGGGTCGAGGGGGCCTAGACGCAACTGCCCTCCGGGCAGGCAGTGGGACACCCTTGCCAGCCTGGGATCCAGATCCGTCCCGCTGACACTCATGCCAGTTGTCAGGAACCATCTGGTGGCTGCTTTTATATTGTTTCTTCCTTGCAGAGTGTCTAGGGAGGGGAAGCGGCCATCAGCCTTCTGGAAGAGGCCAACTTCCAGGAGGCTGGCGGTCCATCAGTGCCTGGCCCGTTCTCTGGAGATTGGACCTGCAGGACTACTGAAGGAGGGAGTGGCTGCCACCAGGCTGGTGGGCCACCAGAACGGGTCAGTCAGCTGAGCAGCACTCCCACTGTGGGAGCGCACTGACCACCAGGGAGAAGCTCCTGCGTTGAGCGTCTGCCCCCTGGTGGTCAGTGCACATCATAGCGACCAGATGACCAGTCGTTCTGTCATTCAGTTGTTCAGTCATTCGGTCACTCGGGCTTTTTTTATATATAGATATTTTATGATCTAATCAATTATTTCAAACTTCATTATAGAAAATATAAACTTGTATCAAGACATTTTTTCCTTCTTAAAGTACAAACTAAAGTTTTATTTTTCTATTTAATAAGAATTTTTTTAAATGGCAAGTAACGTGAAATGAATGGTATTTTCATCAGGATGTTCTGCTAAAACATCCTATTCTCTGAAAAAGAATATGAGCTCTTTAAATACTGAGGCAGATTTATAAAGAAAATGGTTGATAAGCAGAGAATAAAGGAAATCATTAAAACAGAAGTTTTTAGATTGCTGTAGACTTACCTCCAGCAGTCAATTGGAGATAAAGAACTAGTCTACTTTTCTAAATTAAAAATGAAACTAGAGATCATGAAAGCCAGTAAATCCTCTCTCTTTCTGGGGAAAGAAAGTCAAGGCTATGCCAAAGTGCATTCTTTCTCTCTGATACTTTTCCTTATGTAAGGTAGGCCCAAGATGATAATAGTATTGAAGAACTTACTACATCACAGAACTTACCTTACAGGTATTCTATGGAGGAAATCATCAGTGACAAATAGAATTCTCAAATTTGAGAATAAATGAGGACAAATTCCCAAGAGAGTTTTGGTATCAATTTAAAGCTCAGAATATAATTGTACCTAAGATGTATGTTTAAATAAACAATCAAGAATTAAGAAAAATACCAAATTTTAAAAACCTAAATATTGTGTTAAAATGTTTAAATGTTTTAAACTTAATGTGTTTAATTTTTTTAAATGGGTTGGAAAAACACTCTTAGAGGAGGCACAAACATGCCTACAAGTATCTTTAAGGAAATGGTAAAATACCATGCCACCTAGTGGCATAATAACCAAATTGCACAATATGTTCTATGCAAACTAACAATTTCACTATTGTTTTTTAAATTAAATAATATTAACAATAGCTATGAAGTTATACTTATAGAATTATGACTCTAAAGACTTTAAGCATATATTTTAAAAATCCATTCAGTGCCAATTTATATTTAGCTGCTGGCTGTATAACCAGATTATTAGCTTCCAAGATTCCTGGAACCCCAATTTCAGAGAGTTCCAACCATATTTTAGTCTCTCTCCAGAAAATACCCCATATTTCATGAGAACTTTTGGTTACCAAGAAGAGTAATATAAGTAGGAAAAAGTACTGGTTTAGACCTGAGATTAGATAAACAGAAGTCTAATCAAAGGGTTCAAGATGGGAGAACTGTCCTGAACAAACAAAAGAACTACTGGACTCCAAGAGAGGTCACAAACTCAAAAGCTTTCTGGGATCAAGGAGATAAGCTAAGTTCGTTGAATAAAGCTATCAGATAGTCAACTAAAGATGCCTTGGATAAAACTAAAGAACAGCAGAAGAGTATGGGCTTGCGAAATCAAAGGGAAGACATGACACCCTGAGAAAGCTGCTGGGTCGCCCCGTTTCCAGCCACTGTGCCTGCCTTACACTAGGGAAGTCCATGATTAAGAGGAATTGGGGATGGCATGGGGATCAGATGTGGGGGGTGGACATAGTCAATTAGCAGTTTGGTAGAGAAGAGAATAGCAAGGATTTTGTCTGGAGGTAATAGGTCTGGCCCAGAAGACACATTCCTTATTACCTTCTAATCATGAGATCATTTGTATTTTCCATTTTTAACACTTACTCTGTATGGCCCATTTGTGCAGCTGCATGAATAGGTAACTGCCAACTGTCTTCGTTACAGTAGAGATTAGGATCTGCCCCACTGGACAGCAAAAGCTCCACACATTCTGTGTGGCCCTCTTGAGCAGCAATGAATAAGGGAGTAGCTTTATCCAAGGCTTGACAATTGACATTTGCACCTAATACAAAATAAAACATTTAACAGATGATCCTCATTTATGGGGTAAAAAAGAACATAATAAACATAAATTTCAAAGCAGCTTTCCTAAAAGGGTTTCATAGTACAGATGACCTTTGAACAAAACAGGTTTGAACTGCTCGAGTCCAATTAAACGCAGATTTTTTTCCATCTTATAAACAGATGACATAATGCCACAATATCAATAAATAAAATACTGTGTGGGCAATGTATTTTCTCTTTTGATTTTAATAGCATTTCCTTTCTCTAGCTTAGTTTATTGTAAGGATACAGTATATATAATACATAAAAGAAAAAAGATGTATTAATCAACAGTTAATGTTATCATTTAGGTTGTTGGCCAACAGTAGGCTATTAGTAGTAAGTTTTGAGAGAGTCAAAGTTATATGCAGACTTTCAACTGTGCATAGAGAGAAGTTAGAGCCCTCAATCCCCACAATGTTCAAGGATCAACTGTACAACTAGTTTCCTCCTCTCAGTGGATACTGTTTTATAAACATACTAGAGGCCCAGTGCACGAAATTCATGTGTCCCTCACAACCGTGTGTCTCTCAGCCCAGCCTGCACCCTCTCCAATCTGGAACCCCTGTGGAATCGGGCCTAAACAAGCAGTCAGACATCCCTCTCATAATCCGGGACTGCTGGCTCCCAACTGCTCGCCTGCCTGCATGCCTGATTGCCCCTAACCACTTCTGCCTACCAGCCTGATCAACACCTAACTCCTCCCCTGCCAGCCTGATCGACGCCTAACTCCTCCCCTAACTGCCCTCCCCTGCCGGCCTGGTCACCCCTAACTGCCCTCCCTTGCCAGCCTGGTCACCCCTAACTGCCCTCCCCTGCAGACCTGATCACCCCCAACTGCCCTCCCCTGCTGGCCATCTTGTAGCAGCCATCTTTGACCACATGGGGGCGGCCATCTTGTGTTGGAGTGATGGTCAATTTGCATATTACCTCTTTATTACATAGGACTAGAGGCCCGGTGCACAAAACCTCTCTCAGTCTGGGACCCCCCAGGGGATGACCACCTGCTGGCTTAGGCCCGCTCCCCAGGGGATTGGGCCTAAGATGGCAATCAGACATCCCTATGGCAGACCGGCAGCCCTCGGGGGATGTCCACTTGCCAGCAGGGAGCAAGCCTAAACTGCAGTCGGACATCCTTAGCGCTGCTGAGGAGGCAGGAGAGGCTCCCGCCACCAGTACCGCTGTATTGGCAGCCATCAGCCTGGCTGTGGCTGAGCAGAGCTCCTCCCATGTGAGAGCGCCGTGACCACCAGAGGGCAGCTCCTGCATTGAGCGTCTGCCCCCTGGTGGTCAGTGTGTGTCATAGTGACCAGTCATTCCCAGTCCTTCTGCTGTTAGGGTCAGTTTGCATATTACCCTTTTACTATATAGGATAGAGGCCTGATGCACAGGTGGGGGCCGGCTGGTTTACCCTGAAGGGTGTCCCGGATCAGGGTGGGGGTCCCGCTTGGGTGCCTGGCCAGCCTGAATGAGGGGATGATGGCTATTTGCAGCTGGTCACACCCCCTTCAGGGTGGGGGTCCCCACTGGGGTGCCTGGCCAGTCTGGGTGAGGGGCTAAGGGCCGTTTTCAGGCTGGCGGGAGACTGAAGATCCCAACCTCTCCCTTTTTTCTTTTTCTTTTTTTATTCTGGGATTTATTTACCTTCTATGGCTGTCACTGGAACTGAGAGCCAACTTTAGCTCTGAGGCTCGGCTCCAGCTCTGAGACCTCAGCTGCTGAAAGCAGGTAGGTATCTGGGTTTGTTTGGCTTCTATAATTGAAATACTGTTGCAGCTCCAGCTCTGAGGCCCAGCTGGCTGAAAGCAGGTATCTGGGTTTGTTTAGCTTTTATAATTGCAACATTGTTTCTTAGAGTGCAGCTCAGAGGCTGGCAGCGGCAGGTGGGGAACCTTGGCTTCCTCCATCACTGGAGCAAGCAAGCCTCCTGTTCGCTTCAGCTGCCTGGCTGCCGGCCGCCATCTTGGTTGGCAGTTAATTTGCATATCTCGCTGATTAGCCAATGGTAAGTGTGTCGGAGGTACGGTTAATTACCATGTTTGTCTATTATTAGATAGGATATTATATAGGATTCATTTACCTAACTTGTTGGTAATCATGTAAATTGTTTTTGCATTTATTTTGGCAAGAAAACAAGTTATTAATATTTTAGAATTCATTTTTACATTAAAACAAAATTCTTAGCAAAGGATTAATTTCATCCCAATTCCTCCTCCAACAAGCACTCTGTGGTTCCAATAAATAATCATTTAAAAAGGTAAAAGGCAAACCATCAAATATGGATAACATTTCTGATAATTGCTGAAAAAGATAAGAGAAAAACCTAAATTATGAGCCTTTGTAGATGTCACTAATCAATTCAGGCTAAGCTTTATTTTTAAAAAAATTGCCCAGCCAGTGTGGCTTAATGTTGATTACCAACCCATGAACCATGAGGTCACAGTTCATTTCCTAGTCAGGGAGCATGCCCAGGTTTTGGGCTTGATTCCCAGTAGGAGGTGTGCAGGAGGTAGCCCATCAATGATTTTCTCTCATCATTGTTGTTTCTATCTCTCTCTCCCTCTCCCTTCTTCTCTCTGAAATCAATAAAAACATATTTTTCTTAAAAAATTCCAGTAGAATTTAAGACTATGCCTTAAAACTAATATTGACTATTATATTCTCTTTCTTCATGACCAATGCATGTCAGAGCCTACAATAAAAAGATCTTTTTAAATGATTTTCTGAGCTGATTTTTTAAAAATATATTTTATTGATTTTTTACAGAGAGGAAGGGAGAGAGATAGAGAGGTAGAAACATCAATGAGAGAGAAATATCGATCAGCTGCCTCCTGCACACCCCTTACTGGGGATGTGCCTGCAACCAAGGTATATGCCCTTGACTGGAATCGAACCTGGGACCCTTCAGTACACAGGCCGACGCTCTATCCACTGAGCCAAACCAGTCAGGGCCTGAGCTGATTTTTAAAAAGCATAAATCTAATAGATTATTTAGATACCAGTATATAAAGATATGAAGTTGAAAGTGATCTCAATATTTGTAGAGGTTTTGAAAATAGCCACTTCCCCAAACTTTTCTCATTATTGACAATTAACATGTTAAATATGCTACCTATGATATTATTACATAATAGTGAGAATTTTTAAATTTCTGAAATGTATCTCAGTGGGAAAACCATTATCGCCAAAGGGAAAAGAACTATTTTTTATCCATAAATACACCTTTAATAAACTAAGGTCATGAGATAGGTAAAAACTATGCAAAACATACATGAATTTATGAAACCTTCAGAAATTTCAACTGAACATTCAACATGTGTAGACAAATAGAATCTTAATACAAGGTGATGCTAAACCTACTGTCAGCCTCAGAAAGTAGTGGACACCATTACTGAGAAAAGACTAAGTCAAGAAAGAAGTCTACTTAACTTTCTTTTTTAAGCAATGTTTCATTTTGATTGACAATTTCAAAGTGTCAGGAAAAATAAGGAACCAGTCCTTGTGAGATTATAGGTAGAAAACTAAGAAAAAATGGCCCACAATTCACTAAAAGAAAAGTCATATTAAGGGGTTAGAAACATAAATAGTTATATTATAAACATATCTACATACCCTTTCAACTTGCTGTTCATAACTACTCAAAGAGAAGAAAAAAAGAACAAAGCAAAACAATAGGTGCTTAGCAACCTAGGAGACAGGCTTGGCATGAGGAAAGTCATTAAGGTGCAGTTTAACCTATTTTATTGTAAATCTTAGTTATACACTAATAATGGAATTTATGGGACTGGGAGCCATAAAATGAACAGGACAGTCCTCAGAGAGAACACATAGAAGAAGAAGGAAAATCAGAGTCAGAAGGGCTGGGTCCAAGTCCTAATTCTGCCAAGAAATGCTTTCTAGATCTTGGGCAAGGCACTTACACACTCAGGGCCTGAAATTCTTAATCTAAAAACACATGTTTACATAAATGATTAGGGCAGGGGGTGGAGAGAACTCATGGACATGGACAACAGTGTGGTGATGGTGAGGTGGGGTGGAGTGGGGTGAGTGGAGGTGGAAGAGGGCATAGAGGGGATAAATGGTGATAGAAAAAAATAAAAATAAATGATTTTGGAGATTCCATTCAACTATAAGATTTGTAGATTCATATCTGTAACAGATATCTTAATTTGGCACTAAATGAATATTTATTTTGTTTCCTACTTCAACTTGGGTATTTGAAGATTTGTAAAGAGAAAATACAAATAAGAAAACACACAGTTAAAATTCATGTCTAAATAAGCTTTGTGCCCTAGCCAGTTTTGCTCAGTGGATAGAGCATCTGCCTGTGGACTGATGGGTCCTGGGTTCAATTCCATTTGAGGGCACATGCCCAGGTTGCAGGTTCGATCCCCAGTAGGGGGCGTGCAGGAGGCGGCCGATCAATGATTCTCTCTCATCATTGATGTTTCTATCTCTCTCTTCCTCTCTCTTTTTCTCTGAAAAAAATAAAAATAAAAATGAATAAAAAATAAAAATAAATAAGCTTTGTTTTGTATATTTGGAGGTAATTTATTAAAAGCCAAGGTATTACAGGAGGTATATGAAAAGCACAAGGTATTTTTAACATTTATATTTAATGTAATTTTTTTAAAACTTTTTAATTTGCCTGATGGCAAAACTGGTATATTTCTCTTGTGCTCTAACTATGGTGCTTTGTCAGGTTAGCACTCTTGAGGGAAAAGTGGTATTTGGAGAAATGTAAAAGCCATACATAACAAATGTTTCTGGTCACAGAAGTGTCACACAGAATAAGAATGCCACCCCAACTCCATCTTCTCTGACAATGCTGAATGTATAATGGTTGTCAAGAAGAAACTTTCAGCAGGTTTATGTTGCTATTAACACAATAAAATATAAACATACTTAGAAGTAAACCCATTTAAATAATCATACAATTGATCAAAACATACAACTCAAAGGCTTAATATACAAAATAGCTACATAATAAATTAATATTAATATAGCCTTCTACCGTAGGAAGTTGTAACTGCTCAGGTCCCTATAAGAAAGGACAGCCCCATGATTCAGTTTCCAATAAACCTGCTTCAGTGATAGATCATTATGTTCCTCCTCAGATAAATTAGAAACTGTACATTGCATTGTGTTAGTAATAGACACTAAGTAATCAGGCTTATAAATCAACGTGTAGCCCTGGCCAGTGTTTTTCAGTGGTGGGAGCATCGGACATGCACTGAAGGGTCTCGGGTTCAATTCCCAGTCAAGGGCACGTACCCAGTTCCAGATTCAATCCCTGCTTCAATGGGGGCACATGTGGGAGGCAACCAATTGATGTGTCTCTCTATACATCAATGTTTCTCCCTCTCCCCCCACCCCATTCTCTCTTTTAGAAAAAAATGGAAAAAAAATATCCTTGGGTGAGGATTAACAAAAATAAAAATAAATAAATAAATAAATAAATAAATAAATAAATAAACTTGTATGTACTCTTATTTACCACTAACATAAAACCATAAATTTCACAACCTGATTTGATCTGGTCAAGAATTCTTTCTCCTAGGAAGACATACTATTAAAACTCACAATCTTTAAAGTGCAAAAGTTAATGGATTAATCTTACCTGATGAAATAAGTATGCTCAAACTTCCTAGCTTGCCATACTGAGCGGCCACAAATAAAGGTGTGATTCCAAAGTCATCCTGGCATTCCTTACTTGCTCCTCTTTTAAGAAGCAATTTTATGATCTCAGTATTTTCCTAAAGCACAGATTCATATTTTAAATAAGAGAAAACAAAGAAAATAGAAGGTATCTCTTTTCTTATTGTTGTGTTTTGTTGTTTGTTTTTTATCCTCTATAAAGGAAAACCTTTTTTTAGAAAGTTGGATGGGAAGGAAGTCTTAAACTATCAGATTATTCTATACAGTCACAAACCCATTAAACATTAATAGATGAAACACTGATCTCTAGGAATTATAATCCTTATAAAATCCTGCAAAAATAGCTTTCTAGCCCTAACACTAAGGAGCTATCATAGTTTCTAAACACATTGCTATACATAGAATAAGTCATTGCTCCTTATCAATTTATATCCCAAGTGTTCTGATGGTCTCTTAACTATGCTATCAACATTTGAAACCTTAGATAATCCCTGTCACCCAAAGCTGCTGATACTACTAGAGCAGTTGGTTTATTCAGAATGATCATTAGCATTTAGACTGCCTTTTCTGTACTGCACTAACCATCATAAATCACAGACAAGTGGGAAGTAAAAATTGTATAGAACTGTCATTTTAAAAGGGTAAAACATACAATTTACATGAAGATGAAATAATAAATTCAGAAGTTACCTGAAAAGTAGCCTGGTGCAGGGCATTCCATCCACACATAGAATGGGATCCATTAACATTTGCTCCATATCGAAGCAACAGCCTTAACACATCCATCCGTCCATTTTCAACAGCTGCAATATAGCAGTCAAAAAGAATTACTGTCAGTAGAAAGTCATGTTTGTAGGGCTGGACACTTTGGTGATATTCTCATCATTTATTCACCTCAAAACTCACAATGCTGTGACTATTCCTATCAACAAATCAAAACACATAATCCCTATGCAACGCCAAAACATTTATCACAATTGTCTTAGGCCAAACCCATTAATATATACATCCTTTCTGTGCACATACAAATTATTCCCAGTTATATTTTAAAAGATAGAGTAAATGGAAGCAAGAAGCAAACATTTATTCTGTCTAATAATGAAGACAATATGTTTCCATTTTGTTAAAATGCTATTGAGGAGAGAATGGGATGAACAGGTCAGGAGATATAGTCTCACAAGGATTGAAAGGTTTCCTATCATTACCATTTGATCACCAATGACAAAAGTTACTGACAGTTGAAGGAGCAATAGTGCAAGTTCTGCATCTTAGATATTTTTTACATAAACAGCATTTATATTGTTAAAATTGAAAATACAGAAAAACTTTGCTTATTTGAACTAAAAGGGGACTCTGGATAAACTGAAGAGTGTTGCTAAAGAACTACACTTTACTCTAGTAACTGAAACTAATGACTCCCACTTTGGAAAACAGTATGGAGGTTCCACCAGAAATTAAGAATAGAGCTACGATAAGACCCAGCAATCCTCTTCCTGGGATCTATCTGAAAATTTTGAAAATGTTTATTCGTAAGGATATATAAACTCCTATGTTCATTGCAGCATTATGCACAGTAGCCAAGACACAGAAACAACCTAAGTATCTTTTGATGAATGATTAAAGAGGATGTGGTTCATACACACAACAGAATACTACTCAGCCAATAAGAAAAGATGAAATACTGCGATGTGTAACAACATGGATGGATCTTGAGGCAGTATCATGCTAAGTAAAATAAATAAGATGGAAAAGAACAAGAACCATGTGATTTCACTCATATGTAGGATATAAAACAGAAAGCAGCAAACACAGATAGTCTACAGATGAGTAGTTACCAGAGGGGGGCAGGATAAAGAGTTTAAGGGGCAAAATTTATGGTGATCAAGGGAGACTCGACTTTGAGTGGTGAGCACATAATGCGATATCCAGATGATGTATTATTATTGAATTGTACATTTGAAACTATGCAATGTTACTAATCAATGTCACCCCAATACACTTAATTTAAAAAATAAATTTAAAAAAAAATAATAATGGAGAAACCAAGATGGCGGCATAGGTAAACACCGAAATTGCTGCCTCCTACAACAACTTCACAAATACAACAAAAAGACAAAACAGACATCATCCAGAACAACAGAAAGGCTGGCTGAGTGGAAATTCTACAACTAGAAGGAAAGAGAAAAGCACACTGAGAGTCAGGAGCTGCGGAAGTAAACTGCAAAGGTATGGAGGCTCGAGCGCGCGCGTGCGGAAAGGGGCTGGTACCTGAGGACACGGCTGTCTTTTTGAATCGGGAGGGAGTCACAAGCTCCCGACTGCTCTGAACTCCAGTTCCGGGAAGTCTCTGGGGACCCAGGACTCATACGGGGAGAAACTGGACTGTCTGGCAGCGGGCAGAACTCGGAACTCGAGGGCGGCTTTCCCTCAGAGGTGCTTGCAGCAATTACCGGGACACTGAGACACGCGGCCCCTTACGGCAGGGCTGAGGATCTGCCATAGCTGCTTGCTCCACCCTGTTGATTCCTTGAGACCCTGCCCCACCCAGGCTGCGGCAGAGGCTTCTGCATATGAATGCCCTGGCCCTTTGCAACCTGAAAATTACCAAACAAATTACAGCTGGGCCAGACAGACCCAGAACTTCCAAGAGAAGGCCCAAGGCCCCACAGCAGCTTGCATTACTTCACAGCTGGGCCTCATCTGGGCACCTCCAAACTCCAAAAAAGGAAGGAGAATCTGCAGATCTTTTCATAGCTCCTGCTGGGTAACCTCAGGCAGAGACTAAATTAGCACCTCCTTAGATCCAAGAGCCAGTGTACCCAGTGGTCAGAGTGGGACCATCCAGATTACAACTCCTCAGATCCATAAGGGACACACTCAAGGGGCAGACTCAGTGAGCACCAAAGCCCCACTGAAGCAAGTCTTGCCCCAGAAGGGTGTCTTCAGCACAGAAGTTCTACCACTGCAGACACAGCTGATTCTCACTGCCAATTGACCTGGAGGTCAATTCCTCCCAGTGATACCTAAAACAATCAAGGCATAACTACAACAAGACTGTGCACAAAGCCCACAAGGGGGTGCACCAAGAGTGTCCACCTCAGGTAACTGGGGAGGCTGAGCCACTGGGCCCTATAGGACACCTAGCACACAAAACCACTCTACCAACACAGAGAAGCATAAAAAATGTGGAGACAAAGAAACAGGACACAAATGACAGAAATGGAGGAAAGCAAATGACTGGATATAGAGTTCAAAACCACGTTTATAAGGTTTTTCAAGAATTTTATGGAAACTGCCGATAAATTTAGTGAGACCCTGGAGGATATGAAAAAAGACCAACTAGAAATTAAGCATACACTGACTGAAATAAAGAATAATATACAGAGATCCAACAGCAGACAAGAGGATCCCAAGAATCAAGTCAAAGATTTGAAATACGAAGAAACAAAAAATACCCAACCGAAGAAGCGAAAAGAAAAAAGAATCCAAAAATATGAAGATAGTGTAAGGAGCCTCTGGGACAACTTCAAGCGTACCAACATCAGAATTATAGGGGTGCCAGAAGATGAGAGAGGGCAAGATATTGAAAACCTATTTGAAGAAATAATGAAAGAAAACTTCCCCTACCTGGTGAAAGAAACATACTTACAAGTCCAGGAAGTGCAGAGAACCCCAAGCAAAAGGAATCCAAAGAGGACCACACCAAGACACATCATAATTAAAATGCCAAGAGCAAAAGACAAAGAGAGAATCTTAAAAGCAGCAAGAGAAAAAAAGTCAGTTACCTGCAAGGGAGTACCCATACGACTGTCAGCTGATTTCTCAACAGAAACCATGCAGGCCAGAAGAGAGTGGCAAGAAATATTCAAAGTGATGAATAGCAAGAACCTACAACCAAGATTACTTTATCCAGCAAAGCTATCATTCAGAATTGAAGATCAGATAAAGAGCTTCACAGATAAGAAAAAGCTAGAGAAGTTCATCACCACCAAACCAGCATTATATGAAATGCTGAAAGGTATTCTTTAAGAAAAGGAAGAAGAAAAAGGAACTCTTACCATTTGCCACAGCATGGATGGAACTGGAGAGCATTATGCAAAGTGAAATAAGCCAGTCAGAGAAGGATAAATACCACATGATCTCACTCATTTGTGGAATATAATGAACAACATAAACTGATGAACGAGGACTGACCCAGAGATGGAGAGGCGTTGATTGGACTGTCAGGCCTTGGAGGGAAGGTAGGGGAGGGTGGAGGTAAGAGGGAAAGATCAACCAAAGGACTTATATGCAAGCATATAGGCCTAACCAATGGACATGAACAACAGGGGGGTGAGGGCATGAGCGGGGAGGGGGGGAGGGGGTAACGTGGAGATAAGGACACATATGTAACATCTTAATCAATAAAATATATTAAAATAATAATAATAATAATGACTCCCAAGTTGCTGGTAAAGTAGATCCTTTGAAGGAATAGTGTGCATGCCTCTAAATACCTAAAAATCATGTGCCCTTTTACTAGTTGCAGGAAATTGTTCTACTTTATTTTACATATATCTAATTTACCATTAGTACAAGATATGTGTAGTCTTATATCATGTACATGTAACAGTTTATAAATCCTACCTAGTGAGAGTGAATATAGGTGTAATGCTATTTAAGTTGACAGAACAAACAAGTGGGGCCCAACTTTCCAGAATGCTACCTACCACAAAACTTTCTGCTATGAAGGTGGCAGTATTCTGGAGGAGTTAATGAAAGGGAAAAAAAAAAAAGTCAGAAGAGAGCTATATAGTGCTTAATAAAATGTTACACACATAACCATACACCATCAAGTAAATGAGGTATATTGTAAATGTTATAGGTATGAATGAGGCTATTACAATGACTTGTTAGAATTATAAGTTTGAGAAACCAAGATGGCGGCATAGGTAAACACCGGAGATTGCTGCCTTGCACAACCACTTCAAAAATACAACTAAAAGACAGAACGGACATCACTAAGAGCCACAAGGAAGGCTGGCTGAGTGGAAATTCTACAACTAGAAGGAAAGAGAAAAGCATACCGAGACTCAGAGGAGGTGCAGTGCAGAAGTAAAATACAAAGGTGCGGAGGAGCATGCGGAGCGGGCTGGCAGCTGAGGGCGCGTTGTCTTTTTCAATTGGGAGGGAGTCTCAGGCTCTGAGCTCCAGTTCCGGGCAAGTCTCTGGGGACCCAGACTCAAACGGGAGAAGAGGGACTGTCTGGCATCGGTTGGAACTCCAGGGCAGCTTTCTCTCCGAAGTACTTGCAGCAATTGCTGACACACCGAGAGGCAGAGCCTCTGAGGACAGGACTGAGAGCAGCCATAACTGCTCTCTCCGCCCGCCCTGTTGATCCCCTGGGACCCGCCCTGCCCAAGCCTTGCACAGAGGCATTTGCTGGATAGCCTCAGGCAAAGGCTAGATTAGCACCTCCCTAGAGGACAGAAGTTCTCCCACTGCAGACACATCTGATTCTCACAGCCAGTTGGCCTGGAGGTCAAATCCCCCCCAGTGTTACCTACAACAATCAAGGCTTAACTACAACAAGACTGTGCACAAAGACCACAAGGGGGTGCACCAAGAGAGCATAAAAAATGCAGAGACAAAAAAAGAGGACACAAATGACAGAAATGGAGGAAAGCAAACTGCTGGGTATAGAGTTCAAAACCACATTTTTAAGGTCTTTCAAGAACTGTCTAGAAGCTGCCAATAAATTTAGTAAGACCCTCGAAAAGACTGGTGAGACCGCTGATAAATGTAGTGAGATACTCAAGAAATC